ACACTTCTCAGAGGAGGACATACAGTCAATCAACAAGTACATGAAAAAATGCTCAACATCTCTAGCTGTCAGAGAAATGCAAATCAAAACCACCCTAAGATACCATCTCACTCCAGTAAGATTGGCAGCCATTATGAAGTCAAACAACAACAAGTGCTGGCGAGGATGTGGGGAAAAGGGTACACTTGTACATTGCTAGTGGGACTGCAGATTGGTGCAGCCAATTTGGAAAGCAGTATGGAGATTTCTTGGAAAGCTGGGAATGGAGCCACCATTTGACCCAGCTATTCCCCTTCTTGGTCTATTCCCTAAGAAATTTGTAATGTTTTGAACAACCCACAATAAAAAATTAAAAAATAAATAAATAAAAATTAAAAAAATAAAAACATTTAGCATGATACATAATAAGAGCTCAGTATGATAGTAGCTATAAGACTTTCTGATAATGGGAATTGCCATAATTTATCCAATCTAAGATGCATACATTTTCTTATTATAATTTCTCTGAAATCTGGTAATTTGATTTAATCTTTAAGATATCCACATACTCATTTCTAAAAAGTTTAATCCCACTGTGTCCCACTTATAACTGAGAAAAGAGAGGTATATGTGATAGTACCTGTATTTTTTATTTTTCAGATAGAACAGATGTATTTTGCAGTTAAATATAATTGTTGTAAAAAATTAAAACATTGCAGAATATGTGAAGTTTCCCTGGCTACACACCCCTATAAAACAGCTGTAATTTCATGTGTATATTTCCAGACTTTTCCCAACCCATATTAACAGATGTAGATTATAAATGTGTGTGTATTAATGTTAATTGACTTATAGTATACTTTACTGTTCTACCTCCTGTTACTTTCACACTACAATATGCTGTACTTATCTTTCCATGTCACTAAAGATAATGATGTCTTTGATCTTTACTTATGCTATATTATTTTATAATTTCTATTTTTATACGTTCTTGCTTATTTTGTCACTTCTTGTCCCCCCCACCAATGATTGATTCTTTTGTTTTTTTCACCCACCAGGGGTTTATCTATACCCTAATTCTCACCTAGTCAGGTGAGAGGCAGTAGTGCATTACTGTTAAAACTATGGTGCCATGTTGCTGGCCTTCAGATCTTACCTTTACACTTTGCAAACCTAGTGACCTTGGACAAGTTATTTAACACTTCATTCATTTGTTCCCATAAGTTAAATAGGGATAACCAATTAATTACTAGTACCTACCTCTCACGGTTATTGTAAGGATTATTGAATCTTTTTTTTTTGCTGGGGGTACTGGGGGTTGAACAGAGGGGTGCTTAAATTACTGAGCCACATCCACAGCCCTTTTTATTTTTTATTTTGAGACAGGGTCTTGCTGTGTTGCCTAGGACCTTTCCAATTTCCTGAGGCTGGTTTTGAATTTGCAGTCCTCCTGCCTCAGCCTCCCAAAACACTGGGATTACAGGTGTGTGCCACCGTGCCTGGCAGGATTAGAGTCATTTTATGTAAAGCCCTTAAAATACTGCCCATCACATTCATTGTAAACACTTGGCTAATATTATTTTATGTTACCTAATATTAGTTTTAGTGATACTATTATTACTCTTCCCACCCCGCTTCCCCAGTACTGGATATTGAACCCTGAGTCATTTTACCACTGAGCTACATCCCCAGACCTTTTTATTATTTTTTTGAGACAGGATCTCACTTAGTTGCTGAGGCTGGCCTTGAATTTATGTTCTTCCTGCCTAAACCTTCCAAGTCATTGGGATTAGAGTATTCTAACATTTTTAATAAGTGCATTGTTCTGATCACCTCTCTATCTTTAATGTGAAAGTTTTACTTATTTGTCTTATATTGTTTAAATAACTTGGAATTTCACTTTGGCTTCTTATGTTTTATAGTATATCTTATTTTAAGAATGCTTTCTTAAAATATTCATTAATCATCATAAATTTATAAGACTATGAGTTCTATATAACTTTATAAGCTTAGCTCCAATTTGCCCACCACTATTCTTTTCATATCATAATTGCCATTTAAAAATCTCTTATTCTAATTTTTTTTTATTTGACTAAAAATGTACTCTAGTAAGTATACTCAATTCAACCTTCCATTTCTGAAACTGCCTTTCTTTAGATCTCATACATAAGTGGAATTCTTTTGGAACACTTAAAATATTATTGAGTTGCCTTTTAGTGTTTAATAGTACAGTTAAGATGTCTGATGCCATCTGCTTCTCTTTCCTTTTTAGATAGCTAACTTTTCTTGGCTCAAAGCTGTAAATTTTTCTTTTTCTCTTCAGAATTAAGAAATTTCACCAGGATATGTCTAGGTATGTTCTTTCCATATTGTTGCTGATTCTTGTGTTTCAACTTTATTTTTAGCTACCATTTTTTTCCTACCATTATTTCATTATTATTATTACTACTACTTTTGCTACTTCTTCTGTCCACTCTAGTTTCTCAGAATGGATTTTGTGTCCTTTGGAGCCATTTGCTCTGTGTTTTTTTTTTTTTTGTAATTTCAGTTTCTTTGTTTTTTCTACTATTTTATCATTTTAGTTTTCATCATTGTTCATTTTCATTTTTCATTCACTGTTCAGTTTGATTTTATTATTTTTTTTATTTCTAAGTGTGCTTTCTTCTCTCCACTGTTTTATAGCTATTTCCTCTTGCAATGAAATATTCTTTCAAATCTTTTAGCTCTCACTGAGGTTACTTATTAGAATTATTTTTAAAAAAAAGTTTTCTGTGCCAGCTTTGACTTTATCTTATTGAGATCTACTTGGATTTCTTTACAGCTCCTGATTTTTCTTTATAACTCAGTATTTTTTTCATATTATTTGCATACTTAGAAATGAAAGTCTAAACTAATTTAAGTAAGTAATTGGCATAGCTCCCCAACAGCTGTAGGTCAGTGTTTAATTTCCCCTAGTGAGCTTTATTCACTGCTTTCCTTCCTCACCTCAAGGAAAAAGTGGGCATTCTTAATGGTAGAGACCTACTTCATATAGCATGTAGGTGAAGCTACCTGCTGTTTTGGGATTGGGGGAGAGTTCCCAAATATGTTTGTATTTTGCTGCTCGGAATCATTCTAAGCTAAGGCTTTATAATCAGGCCAAAAAAATGTTACTTCTTGGCCAAATTGCTTTCCTATGTGCCCAAGCATGGCTGGAATTCTCCCCTTCAGCCTCCTCGCTCCTTGCCAACTTTGGTGGGTTAATCTTACTATTAAATTTCAGTTCCATTTCTTAGGCTGTATCACTTAAGAAAGTTTCAGGTAGTACACCTGGGAATATGGCTCAGAGGTAGAACACTTGTGTGTGGCATGTGTGTAAGTCCCTGGGTTCAATTCCCAGCACTGCCCCCCCCCCAAAAAAAATTTAAGTACTACCTTTCTTGGGAAAGAATTTACATAAATGTTGCTTATAGAATAGGTTTCCATTTGCCATTTCCCATTTATTCATTCAGCAAATATTTAGTTACTGCTGCTTTGCCAGGAAGTATACAATGAGGAACACAAAGTCCCTATTGTCACAGAGCTTACATGTTAGTAGAAAGTCTAAACCAGTTTAAGAACCTTGATACCATTCTCTAATATATTTTATTAAAGAAAGAGTTTTTGTTTTTTCTTGATTGGAACTTGCTTCTCCAGTGAATAATCGGTAAATGAATATAAATGGGAAGTTCATGTATTAATTACATACAAGAAAGATAAAGAAAATACACAAAGTTATGATGAATTTTATTGGTCTAGCATGTTGCCTGGATTACATTAGATATACAATGGGTTTTTACTGAAATGAAATACTCTACGAGGCTAAAGAAGCCAAGATAGGGCTGGGATTGTGGCTCAGCGGTAGAGCCTTGGCCTAGCATGCATGGGGCCCTGGGTTTGATCCTCAGCACCACATAAAAATAAATGAATGGGGGCTGGGGATGTGGCTCAAGTGGTAGCGCACTCGCCTGGCATGTGTACAGCCTGGGTTCAATCCTCAGCACCACATACAAAAAAAGATGTTGTATCTGCCGAAAACTAAAAAAAATAAATATTAAAATTCTCTCTCTCTCTTTCTCTCTTTCTCTCTCTCTCTCTCTCTCTCTCTCTCAGTATCAAAGAAATTCAATAAAAACATTTTTAAAAAATGAATGAATGGAATAAAGGTATTGTGTCCAACTACAACTAAAAAAATAAATAATAATAATAATAATAATAATAATAAAAAGAAGCCAAGATAGTGGAAGAAAGATAGTCTGTGTCTGGGGGTAAAGAAGTAAGAAAATTTGTTCCCCTTCTGCATGAGAATTTACCTTTGATTCACTTTTCATCTGTTCTCTGGAATTCTGATAGTGCCAACTATATTAGCAGGCCATAGTGGTGTAGAAAAATTGATCTCTTAGTAAATTATCTGACTAGAAGTATAAATGAACTAAGTTTCGTGATATAGATATCATCACTCTGGGCTTCACAGAATGCAGTGATTCTTTTATCTGGACATAGCTGATACAAGGAAGCTACACCTACATTAGCACCTATGGAGCATAAGACTTTTAAGCTAGGATGGTCTCCTTACCTGCCTTATGTAGATCTCTTCTCTTTGAACCCAGGCTGTCAGCTACAGAATCAAAACTCCAGGACTCTTGTGGGGCTGCTCTAGGACTCCTGCACAAATGGGACTTGATGCTACAGTGTTAGGGGTTGTGCTCTTGTCAGTTAGCCTTAGAGTCCAGTGCCAAGTGTGGCCTATGATAGTCTTTGATTTTGAGTCTGTCTTTAACCTAATGAACATTGAAGTCATTTAATTGGGCCTCCAGAGTCCTGACAGTTATTTTTCCCTGAGATCCATTAGGAGTCCTGTTTCTCTGAGAGATCATTTTATAATGTAATATACTCTTTCTCCTTTCATGAATGCTTAGATTTCTGGGACTTCTGGATCACACTCTTTAGTTTACAGATCTCACATGCAAGTTGCTTATTTACTTTGCATTTCTTTTCTGCAGAGTTGACCCTTTATATGGGATGTGTGAAAAATTTTTACAGGAAGTGGACTTTTTTCAGAGGTAAGTATTTCATAACTCTTCTGGCTTATTAAATTTTGGTTATGCAGAGAATAACTTAACAGGCACCAAGAGTGACCACAAACCAGGTTACTTGGTTTAGCCCATGCAGGCAAGCTATTGTCTATGGTAGTGAGCCCTTATTTGATATTTTCTTTAATTGTGTATAAACTTCTTTGAAGATAAAGCTTCAAAATTAAATGTACAACCAGATAATTAAAACATTGGGAATTGTTTGGATTCAGCTCTCAGCTGGGCCATAAAAATACCAGTATTATAAAGAAAACTCATAAACTGGTTGAAAGATCACACTTTCATATTTATTTATAATCTACAAAGAATTGTTCTATAATTCTGTAGGTAAGTTTTATTCTGTAGGGTAGATATTTTTCTGTTCTGTTTGAAGTGAATTAACAGATTCAATAGATGAGTGGGAAGGCTTGGTGAAGAAAGTGAGAGTTTAGGAAACGACCAAACTTGTGCTGGCAGTATATGCTTTTAAAGGAACTGATTAAGTCTAATAGTTATTTCTTCTGTCTGCTGTTCCTGCCCTCTTGAACTGAGGTTTTTATGACCCTACACTTCTCATTCTTTTTTTCATTTGATGATAGCTTCCTGTAGGACTAGGTTGCATTACCACCATTCACCAGCAGGTGTTGCTTGTTAGTAAAAGGTACAGATTAGCTTGGCTCTGTGTTAGACCTCTGGATTCAAATGTGAAATTTAAATTCATGTCTTACTTTTGGTTTTAGATACTTCAGAGTTTATTTTTGCATAGTTGGGCTAAAGAGGTTTGGGGGAAGGTTACAGCTTTAAGTTGCCTAAGTTCTTCACCTGTTGTTAACTAGAGCTGCATATTTCTTAATTCAGCCTCAGAGGTCCTCTGCAGATATCATCCCTTGAGTGAATTTTTTTTAACTATCCCCTTCCACAAGGCAGAGTACTATGGAATCAATATGAGCTGGGAATCAGTTACTTAATATTTCTGAATCTCAATGTAACATCATCCTCTCTGAATCTCAGTGTTCCTATTGCTTAAATATAAGCTCCATTAAAACAGTTCATTTCTTCTCCTTCACTTGCTATTATATTTCCAGTATCAAGAATAGTACTTAGCACTTGATAGGTTCTAAAAACATATTTGTTAAATTAATTAAAGGATCTGTAAGAAAAAATAATTTTAACAGTGCACAGGTTTGCTGGAAGGTTTAAATACAGTCATATAAAACATTTAAGTGTATGTTTGACATACAGTGTTATTCAATAGCAGTTTCTTATGATGAGCATAACATTAGGGCATAATTATCTGAATACCTGTCTGTTATAGTTGTGAACTTTGAGCTCCTCCCACTTTAACACTCAACCTACTTCAGGGGTTGGCAGATGTCTGAGGCTCAGCCCGTGATGAATGAATGCATAATCAGTTGCTTCTCTTTGTTCCTCCAGGTGTTTCATCGCCGATTTGCCCCATTTGCAGGATAGCTTTGTGGATAAACTTCTTGACCTTATGCCCCGACTCATGACATCCAAACCTGCTGAAGTGGTCAAAATTCTACAGACCATGCTGCGTCAGAGTACTTTCTTGCACCTCCCGCTTCCAGAGCAGGTCAGGGTCTACATCCTGCCCCTTCAGACCAAATTGTCCAGATATGAAAACTATCTACTGTGGTGAGCTTCTTTTATCAGTGGAGCAGCTGCTAAGCCCCTTCCTGTGATTGGCTCCTGCATACCCACCTATTAGATACTAAGACTGTTTTGTTACCCGAGCTTGACCTGGCATTTGAGTCATCATATTTTCTTTTTGCTTATAGATCCATAAAGCCTCTGCTACCATCATTGAGCCAGCAGGAGAATCAGATAATCCTTTGCGGTTTACATCTGGGTTGGTGGTGGCCTTGGATGTTGATGCAACCCTGGAACACGTGCAGGATCCTCAGAACACTGTGAAGGTCCAGGTCTGTTAGGTTGTGGTTCATATGGAACTTTAGAGTGACCTTATATTGAAGCATTTAATTTTAGTATCCCTCTTTATCTAAGAGGTTGAAACAGGGAAAGGAGAAGAGATGGAAATGAACCTTTGTGGAAAAGAGCCTGGGCTTGAAACTGTGCTGCTGAGCAACTCTTACTTGGTAGAGCAAGTTAGATTAAACTCTAAGCCTTATGGGCTGGGGTTGTGGCTCACCAGTAGAGCACTTGCCCAGCATGTTTGAGGCCCTGGGTTTGATCCTTAGCACAACATAAAAATAAATAAATAATTTAAAAATAACAAAAAACTCTTAAGCCTTATACAACTGACAAATAGAAATAGTTGACATTGAAATGGAATGACGTATATTAGGTCCCCAGTACCCAGCAAACGTTTAATGAATGATCGGGCCCTTTCTATTCTATAACATGAGGTTAAGACTTGATCCTTTTTAATACCACCCCCACTCTTCCTATTCCCCCAAAAAAAGCTTGGGCACAAAGGTACTCACCTTTACTCAGGAGACTAGGAAGGGAGCATTGTTTGAGCACAGGAGTTCAAGACCAGCCTTCGTAACATCTCAAAAAGTAAAAAGGAAAAAAAAAAAAAGACTTGATATTTTATTACAGCAATTTGTAAATGACAAGTCTTTTTCAGGCTTTAGGTATATAAGTAGGTCAACTGGCAAACAGAATGTATGGGTGGGAAAAAGCAATCACTAGGAAATATTTTTTCCCAAGTTAGATATATTAGAAACACATGAATGATATAGTAGATCTGCTAAGCAATTCACCTTTTGCACCCATCCATCCTTCCATCCATTTGTGCATTAGTGCTTATTCTATCACACATGCTAAGTGCTGTGGTTGCCAAGTAAATATCTCATAGTTCTGCCTACAATCCCAGCAGGAGGCTGAGGAAGGAAGATTACAAGTTCAAGGCCAGCCTCAGCAACTTATAAATAATTCAGTGAGACCCTGTCTCTAAATAAAATATTAAAAAGAACTGGGGATTTGGCTCATTTCACTCCTCAGTACCAATAAATAAGTAAATGAATGAATGAATGAGAATATAGCTTAGTAATAAAGTACCCCTGAGTTCAGTCCTCAGTACTATCCTCTGCCCTGCAAAGAAGTCACAGTTCTTGCTCTTAGGATGCTCACAGTTGCATTAGGAGACAGACAAATGCATGGGCAATTATGAAACAAAAGTTCAGTGATTAGATAAATTAACACCAGAGAAGTTAATATGATTACTGTGATGGAGGCTAATGAAAGGAACTGCTTTGTGGAGATGCTAGAGTATGGTGGGATTTAAAAGGATGATAACAACAAAGAAGGGCGAAAGGAGGTGTTCTAGACAGAAGGTGTGAGTGCAAACAGGGGTGTAAGCACTGGCAGTAAGTACAATCAGAGGGCAGAAAAATAGTCTGGAGCATGCAGGGAAGCCTTCCTGAAGGAGGTAAGGATGCGTCAGGCCTTGAAGATGGTATTTTTTGGCTATGGTGACAATAGGAGAACACGACTCTGACTTCCCAGCAGGAATTTTACAAATCATGAGACTTACAGAGAATTAATTCTGTGCTAGCTATGAAGTTGTTCTGCATTGCCCCCCACCCCTGCCACCCCTTAGTGTTCATCCCAGCTGTTCTTTAGAATCTCAGCATTAGAGAATACTGATGAATAATCTGCAGCAATTAAATCAGAATCCTCTGAGCTCATAAGTGATTTTTTTCAAGAGTTTATAGGTAATTCTTTTGGGCAGTCAGCAATTCTAATGAGAAGCACTGTTTCACAATGTCCCTGAAAAAAAGTTTCCAGACCAACTAAGCATAAATGAGGTTGTAGATAGTCTAGCAGATGACCCTTAAATAATCTATCTCCTGAAAACTCCCCTTTGTAGCAACTCCCCTGCAGGCGTGGGCAAACTGATGCCTCTGCTGGTGGGAACTGGGACTCTTACTGCCCTGTCATGCAACAGCTTCATTGTTTTGAAAGTGCTGTAGAGTATAACCACCATACCCTGCCATCTCCTTTGTTCTATCTAGGTACTGTTTTAAGTATAAGACATATAGCAGTAAATATGCCTCAGAGAATATATGGAGATTACACTCTTTTTTTTTAATATTTACTTTTTAGTTTTTTTTTTAGGTAGCACAATATCTTTATTTTATTTTTATGTGGTGCTGAGGATCGAACCCAGTTCCCCACACATGCCAGGCGAGCGTGCTACCACTTGAGCCACATCCCCAACCCCAAGAGATTACATTCTTTATTAAAAGTATGTTTGTTTTTTAAAGTAGGCTTTCTAGGAACTCCATTTAATAACATTTCTTAGCCTAGTGCAGGTTACTATATTTTACCTAAGGCTGATAGGAGATGCAGTTTTTAGTTGTTCCGAAATTCAGAATATAAATCATACTGTCTGTTTTCTTTTCCTGACCTCCATGAGCCAAAGCTTTCTCAGCTGCCCTCTTGGGCATAGTAGAGGAGTGAAGGAAAGCTTCCATCAGCTTTCTCACAGAGGAATTGAAGCCTTTCACCAAGAGCAGTTTTGTTGAGAATGCTGGGAGGTTCTTCCACCTTTGTTATTTTCTTTCTCTTGCTCATCCCTGTGTCAGCCCTCCTCCACCCCTCTTTTTAAAAATTAAAGCCCACCTACTTATCTCTAAAGATAACAAGGATCAGGAAGCTGGGATACTGGACTTTTCTGCTGTCATAGGTTTGAGGCACAGAGCCTGGAAGTAGATTGAGGAGAAGCAGCTTAAAGAAAGAAGGGTAACTGGATGCAGTGGTGCATGTCTGCAGTCCCAGATTCTCAGGAGGCTGAGACAGAATCATTTGAGCCCAGGAAATTGGGGCTGTATTGTGCTCTGCCTATCAGTTGTTTGTACTAAGAGTCAGTAATGGGATTGTGCTTATGAACAGCCACTGCACTGCAGCCTGTGTGACATGGTGAGACCCGATCCCTTAAGTTAAAAAAAGAAAGAAAGAAGGGTAGAATCAGGGAGGCCTGAGAGGAGATAAAAGAATTATGGTAAATGGTCAGAGATAGGCTTCCCAAAATCCAAAATTGAAAGAACTGTGCAGTTCTCCACTGTGCCCTTATCAGTATATTTATATGGAACAGGTCCTATGTGGCACTAGGATCATTTTTAGGATCTTTTTTTTTTTTTTTGGTACTGGGGATTGAACCCAGGGCCTCATGCATGTGAAGCAAGTACTCTACCAACTGAGCTATATCCCCAGCCCCATAGGATCATTTTTATATGTTCCTATATTCATTTGTATGCCATGCCATGGAATAGGTCTTCTACATGGGTTTCTGGGAGGCCCCAGGATGTAGAGGAAAGAACTCTGTCCGTTTGTGAGATGTGAAGATCTGGCCAGTGGTTGGTTCAGACCCTTCATAAAGTCCTTTCTCTTTAGAAAGAGACAGATAAATGCCTTCTTTGCTGCTTGAAATCTAATGCAGAAAATACAGTTGACAAAAATTTCTGCATACATGCTGATTGTGGTGGATGCTGGTCCCTCATGGGATTCATAGCCAAGGAGGGAAGATCATTCTGCCTCGTGGTACTTGGGAGGGTTTTCAGAAATTCAAGAGATGTTTACTGGACATTGCGTTGTGCTGGGGCAGCAGCTACAGAGATGTCTATAGTGTTGCTCTTGCCTCAAGGAGCTTTGCTTTATAAAGGCTGGTGTCATTTTTCTTCTCATGTTTTGGGGTTCACTGCCACCATCAAGTTTTCTTAATTGTTCTTTCTTCTGCCTTTTGTTTTTCTTTTCATTTTTGGTATCTCTTAGGTCTTATATCCAGATGGTCAAGCTCAGATGATCCACCCCAAACCAGCAGACTTCCGAAATCCTGGCCCAGGGCGTCACCGTCTCATCACTCAAGTGTACCTCTCCCATACCGCTTGGACAGGTAAGGAGTCAGGGACCTGGGGATTATGCTCCTAGAGATTACACTCAACCTTTAGCATTTGTTTTTTAGTTTGAGGGAAAAAATACATGTTTGAATCATGTACTGAGGATTGAATGTGATTCTTTAGGGAGTTCATAAGATCAAACTGGGTACATTTGGACTAATTTGCTATACTGATTGCACAAGCAGTGAGATTCTTGTACAAGAGGTTATAGTGGAATGGAGTTTCATGGAAAGAGCCCTGGGCTGGACACCAGGAGAATGCATGTTGTTCTGACTCTGCCACCAGTTTGCTGCATGACCTCGGGCAAGTCTGAGTCTGTTTCTTTCCTCAGCTTAAAAAAAAGGTGGTGATTCTCAACCAATAAATTAATTGTGAAGATTACTCCCTCTGGAAATTACAGTTTCATTTCCTTATGAAAAATTTAAAACCACTGTCTCTTTGTCTATGAACAGTTCAATTAATTCCCCTGAAACAAGTAAAATGACACATAACTTCCCATCCCTCCCACACATGGATGGTCTATGGAGTGATGCAGAGCAAGGGGATCTGTTAATACAGCAACTGAATAGAACATGCACAGTTGGTGAAAGGACAGAGATGTCATACAAGTTTATTTTTTTATTCTTTTTTTCCCCTTTAATCTGGGAGAAATCAAATGCAAAAGACATTTTATTCAAGCCTATAAGTTTGCTTTGGAAAACTTAAAAAGAGACTCAGACTGCAAAACCTAAAACATGGGGCTGAATTGACCTTGGTGATATTTCCTGAATCATTGAAGATGAGACAGGGTCTCACTGAGTTGCTTAATACCTTGCCATTGCTGAGGCTGGCTTTGAACCCTTGATCCTCCTGTCTCAGCCTCCCGAGCCACTGGGATTACAGGCGTGCACCACTGTGCCCAGCCACATCAGATGTTTTCTTATTTAAAATTACTTATTTGAGATTCTCTCCCATTAGAATGTAGCCTCCATTGCAGCAGGAGACTTGCTCATCTGTATTTCTGTATCCCTGGTGCCTATACGTCCTATGTCCTTAGTGCGTGACATGCAGTAGGCCCTCAACAAATAGTGAAAACAGAATGCATGATTTAAAAAAAAAAAAATTTAATTTATTTTAATTAGTTATACATTTCAGTAGACTATCTTTTCTATCCCCACATCCCCTCCCCTCCCCTTCCCTCCCATCACTTCCCTCTACCTAATCTAAGGTAACGCTATTCTTCCCTAGTGCCCTCACCTTATTGTGAATTAGCATCTGCATATTAGAGAAAACATTTGGTCTTTGGTTTTGTGGGATTGGCTTATTTCGCTTAGCATGATATTCTCCAACTCCAACCATTTACTGGCAAATGCCATAATTTTACTCTTCTTGAAAGCTGAGTAATGAGTATATATACCACATTTTCTTTATCCATTCATCTATTGAGGGACACCTAGGTTGGTTCCATAGACTAGCTATTGTGAATTGAGCTGCTATAAACATTCATGTGGCTGCATCACTGTAGTATGCTGAATATAAGTCCTTTGGGTATAAACCAAGGAGTGGAATACCTGGGTCAAATAGTGGTTCCATTCCCAATTTTCAGAGGAATCTCCATACTGCTTTCTGTAGTGGTTGCACCAGTTTGCAGTCCCACCAGCAATGTATGAGTGTACCTTTTTCACCACATCCATGCCAACATTTATTGTTGCCTGTATTCTTTTTTTTTTATAAAAAATTATTTTTTAGTTGTAGTTGGACACAGTACCTTTATTTCACTTATTTATTTTTATGTGGTGCTGAGGATTAAACCCAGGGTCTTGCACGTTTGAGGCAAGTGCTTTACCACTGAGCCACACCCCATACCTGTTGCCTGTATTCTTGATAATTGCCATTCTGACTGGAGTGAGATGCAATCTTAGAGTAGTTTTGATTTGCATTTCTCTAATTGCTAGAGGTGTTGAACACTTTTTCATACATTCATTTATCAATTGTATTTCTTCTTCTGTAAAGTGTCTGTTGAGTTCCTTAGCATATTTATTGATTGGGTTATTTGTTTTTTTGGTGTTAAATTTTTTGAGTTCTTTACATATCCTAGAGATTAATGCTTTATCAGAGGTGCATGTAGGAAAGATTTTCTCCCAATCTGTACGCTGTCTCTTCACTTTATTAATTGTTTCCTTTGCTGAGAAGAAACTTTTTCATTTGAATCAATCCCATTTATTTATTCTTGATTTTACTTCTTGCTCTTTAGGAGTTTTGTTAAGGAAGTCAGATCCTAGGTCAACGTGGTGAAGGTTTGGACTTATTTTTTCTTCTATTAGGCACAGGGTCTCTGGTCTAGTGCCTAAATCTTTGATCCACTATGAGTTGATTTTTGTACAGGGTGAGAGAGAGAGAGAGGTTTAATTTCGTTTTGCTACATATGGATTTCCAGTTTTGCCAGCACCATTTGTTGAACAGGCTTTTTCTACAGTGAATGTTTTTGGCACCTTTGTCTAGTATGACATAACCATATTTATATGGGTTTGTCTCTGTGTACTCTATTCTGTACCAGTGGTCTACAAGTCTGTTTTGGTGCCAATACCATGATGTTTTTATTATTATAGCTCTGTAGTGTAGTTTAAGGTCTGATATTGTGATGCCTCCTGCTTCAGTTTTGTTGATAAGGAGTGCTTTAGCTGTTCTGGATCTCTTATTTTTCCAAATAAATTCCATGATTGCATTTTCTATTTCTGTGAAGAATGTCCTTGGGATTTTAATAGGAATTGCATTAAATCTGTATCACTCTTTTGGTAGTATGGCCATTTTGACAATATTAATTCTGCCCAACCAGGAACATGGGAGATCTTTCCATCTTCTGAGGTTTTCTTCAATTTCTTTCTTAAGTATTCTATAGTTTTCATTGTAGAGGTCTTTTGCCTCTTCTGTTAGACTGATTCCCATTTTATTTATTTATTTTTGAGGCTATTGTGAATAGAATAGTTTTCCTAATTTCTGTTTCAGTAGATTCATCGCTGATTTATAGGAATGCATTTGATTTATGGGTGTTGATTTTATATCCTGCTACTTTGCTGAATTCATTTATTAGTTTTCTGGTGGAATTTTTTTTGGATCTTCTAGATATAGAATTATGTCATCAGCAAACAGTGATAGTTGGAATTCTTCTTTACCTATTTGTATCTCTTTAATTTCTTTCTTTTGTCTACTTGCTCTGGCTAGAGTTTCAAGGATGATATTGAATAGAAGTGGTGAAAGAGGTCATCATTGTCTTATTCCAGTTTTTAGCACGAATGCTCTCAATTTTTCTCCACTTAGAATGATGCTGGCCTTGGGTTTAGCATATATAGTATTTTACAATGTTGAGGCATGTTCCTACTATCCCTAGTTTTTCTTTTTTAAGATAGAGTGAGAGAGGGAGGGAGGGAGAGAGAGAGAGAGAGAATTTTTAATATTTATTTTTTAGTTTTCGGTGGACACAACATCTTTGTTTGTATGTGGTGCTGAGGATCGAACCCGGGCCGAACGCATGCCAGGAGAGCGCGCTACCGCTTGAGCCACATCCCCAGCCCCGAGTTTTTCTAATGTTTTGAACATGAAGGCGTGCTGTATTTTGTCAAATGCTTTTTCTGCATCTGTTGAGATGATCATATAATTCTTATTTTTAAGTCTGTTAATATAATAAATTACTTTTATTGATTTGCATATGTTGAATCAACAGCCCTGCATCCCTGGGATGAATCCCACTTGATTGTGGTGCACTATCTTTTTAATATGTAGGCCAACATGGTAAAGATTAATATGTACGTGATTTGCCAGAATTTTATTGAGAATTTTTGCATCTATGTTCATCAGGGATATTGGTCTGAAGTTTTCTTTCCTTCATGTGTCTTTGTTTGGTCATAGAATGAGTTTGTAAGGGTTCCCTCCTTTTCTATTCATGAAATACTTTGAGGAGTATTGGTGTTAATTTTTCTTTAAAAGTCTTGTAGAACTCAGCTGAGAATCCATCTGGGCTTTTCTTGGTTCATAGACTTTTGATGGAGTTTTCTATTTCATCACTTGAAATTGATCTGTTTAAATCGTGTATGACCTTCTTATTCAGTTTTGGTAGGTCACATGTCTCTAGAAATTTGTCTAGAAAAATGTCTTTGATATTTTCTATTTTATTACAGTATAAATTTTCAAAATAGTTTCTTATTATCTTCTGTATTTTAGACATGTCTGTTGTGATATTTCCTTCTTCATCTTGTATTTTAGTAATTTGAGTTTTCTCTTTGTTAGCTTGGCCAGGGGTTTATCTGTTTTATTTATTTTTTCAAAGAACCAACTTTTTGTGTTGTCCATTTTTTTAAATTGTTTCTTTTGTTTCAATTTCATTAATTTCAGCTCTGATTTTAATTATTTCCTGTATTCTGCTTTTATCGTTGATTTGTTCTTCTTTTTGTAGGGCTTTAAGACCTAGTGTTAGGTCATTTATTTGTTGACTTTTTATTCTTTTAATGAATGCACTCAATGTAATAAACTTTCCTCTTGGTACTGCCTTCATAGTGTCCCAGTGATTTTGATATGTTGTAACAGTGTTCTCATTTACCTCTAAGAATTTTTTTTTATTTCATCCTTGATTTCTTCTACAATCCATTCATCTTTAATTATGTATTATTTAGTAGCTTCTATCTTTTATTTTCTTGTTGGTTTTTAATTTCATTCCATTGTGGTCTGATAGAATGCAGGGTATTATCTCTGTTTTTTTTGTTCTTTTTTAACTAAGAGTTGCTTTGTGGCATACTATATGTCTATTTTAGAGAAGGAGCCATGTGCTGTTGAGAAGAAAGTATATTTGTTCGTCGATGGATGAAATATTTCCATATATGTCTGTTAAGTCTAAATTATTGATTGTATTATTTAGTTCTATAGTTTCTTTTTTTTAATATTTATTTTTTAGTTGTATACAATACTTCATTTTGTTTATTTATTTTTATGTGGTGCTGAGGATTGAACCCAGGGCCTCGCACATGCTAGGTGAGTGCTCTACCGCTGAGCCACAACCCCAGCCCAATATAGTTTCTTTTTTTAAATAATTTTTAGTTGTAGTTGGACACAATACCTTTGTTTTATTTATTTTTATGTGGTGCTGAGGATTGAACCCTGGGCCTCACATATGCTAGGCGAACACTCTATGTCTGAGCCACAACCCCAGCCCCTCTATAGTTTCCTTATTTCGTTTTTGTTTAGAAGATCTGTCCAGTAGTGAGAGAGGTGTGTTAAAGTCACCCATGGAATGCATGATTTTAATTGGCAGTTAAAATTCATTCAATTCTTAGACCAACTCTGTGGTGGGAATTAGTGTTTTCTTCATTTCATGGGTATATAAACAGAGCCATATGGCTGCTTAGCAATGGTGCCAAAGCTGGCATGCGGATGTCTTAGCTCCCAATCCCTTGCTCCTTCACTCTACCATGCTCCCTTCTTCCCTGGGACTGGAAAGAGAAACGTGTTCTCATTCTAAATGTACTTACATCTCCTTTGTCCTTACCCAGGAGAGATTTTTGCCTGGAATTTGTAGGGAACTCCTTTAGTCCCTCAGCAGCTCTCCACTGGGGCTGCTTCTCTGGGAGAAAGGATGCTGCCATGCAGGAAACTGAGTCCCATCAGCCATCTTTCAAAGTCTGCCTCCCTTGCTATGTGAGCCTGAAGAAAAAGCTTTCATTTTTCTTATCTTTAAAATGGAAATAAGAATGTATAAGATATATTCTTCCAGGCATGTTGAATTATATGATTTATCCCAGGTATCATTTGTCTCTCCCACTCTTTTATTTTCTCTTTTCTCTCCTTTTTTCCTGTGGCATTGAATTGCTATTCTTATGAAATTCTGATAAGTGAAGGCAAAAATGCCCCTGTGGGGTAAGTTCTATATACACTCCTTCTGACTTTACCATGATATGGCTCCTTGGAAATGCTGTGAGAGCCACATCTGTGGTTGTGGTTGGCTGTGTGGGACAGAGTAGGAGAGTGTGGTGGGACAGCTGATGCTGACACCTGCCCTGGCTCCACCCTGCGTGAAAGATTCTGCTGGAGTCTGGAACTAGAGAGTAATGCTGGTGTCATTACGTACCCACTGGTCCATGGCATAAAGCCCCCATATGATGTGGGTGTGTGCATACTGCAGAACTGGTAAATGGCAGTAGAGTCTGCTCTCAGGTCTGATGCTGAACTCTCAGGTTGACATGTTTGCTCTGCCTTGGCTGCCTGTAAATCTTTCCATTACTGAGGATAGCAATCTAGTCTCTGCTCTGACTTCTAGAGAGAAGTCTAGAAATGACAGAAATAGGCTGAGGAGACATTGAGAAGTCCTGAAGCCTCTCCCTTGTTCATTTAGATCAACCCAGGTCACTCCTGTTCTTTGAACTTCTTAGCTTGAGGCTTGTCTTTAACTCTTATACTTTTTTCACAATTTGTGCCAAAGTAAGGAGGATATCCCAAGTTAAATCTGTTCCTGGCCTTTCTGCTTGCCTTTAGCTTTTTCTGAAATCTTTTTCTCCTTTTTCAGTAAGGAAGCCATGTGGTTAATAGAAAGATTAATTGCCTCACTTTGTATACTGGGCTCAAATTCTGTCACAGGTGTGGATTTGGGCAGCCACTTAGAACCTCTCTGAGCTGCAGAATTTTTTTTCAAGATTGTGACAATCTTTCTTTCATGATGTGGCAGGGTAAGAATTCCTGGGGTGTGTGCTTGGCACAGAGCAGGTGTTGTATTACAGAGCCTTCCTGCACTCCCTTCTCAGTACGCAAACCCTTGATGAGAGCAGACTGCACTCCATGGTAGCCATCTCTGTCTCCTCAAACAGCTAGCAACTTGCAGGGAACTCTTATTTATTCTCTCTGGGGCCCGCCATGTACAGTCACTAGGTCAGCATTGTAATTATAATATGGAGAAAAAAAGATTTTCTGACACTATTTTAAGTCCCCACAAAACATGTTTTTTTCACTGGTGAAAAAATTTTGGCAAAACTGTTTCCCATTTAAAGCCTTCTCCAATAAGAAAACAGAGTCCTTGGTACATACAGCCCAAAATCTTAAAATTGAACTGTTTACCTAGGTATGAGAGAGAATAGGCCCCAGATACTTTGTGGCCTCTGTTCTGAGGCTGGCTTCTGTAGAAGGTGTTCAGCTTGCTCTTGGATTGCTCTCAGGTCATCTCCTTCACTATGGCTGTGAGCTGCAGGGAGCCCACAAGACCCAAGGAGAACATGGCAGTGGAGCATCACATCTGTAGACTTGGGGATTAGCTGCACAGGATTCAGACTGGGAACTTTTTTCCCCCAGCTTAATTTTTTACTCCCTCCGGTATTAGGGATTGAACCCACAGGTGGTCTACCACTGAGCCACTTTTTATTTTTTTGAGACAGGATCTCACGAAATTGCTGGGATGACCTCAGACTTGTGATCCTCCTGCCTCATCCTCCCAGGTAGCTGGGATTACAGACATGTGCCACCATGCCCAGCTGAGAAAGTGGTCTCCCCCACCCCAGGGGGCAGTTGAAGGTTGCAGACTGATGAAGAAATGTTTTTGAAACCCTGTTGTTTCAATTTTTTTTTTTTAAGAGAGAATTTTTAAATATTTATTTATTTATTTTTTAGTTTTCCACAGACACAACATCTTTGTTCGTATGTGGTGCTGAGGAACAAACCCGGGCCACACGCATGCCAGGCGAGCGCGCTACCGCTTGAGCCACATCCCCAGCCCCCTGTTGTTTCAATTTTGGATGTTGCTTTTTCATGCTATTTCTTTTTTTCTTAAAGAGAGAGTGGGGGAGAGAGAGAGAGAGAATTTTTTTAATATTTATTTTTTTTTTTAGTTCTCGGCGGACACAACATCTTTGTTTGTGGTGCTGAGGATCGAACCCGGGCCGCATGCGTGCCAGGCGAGCGCGCTACCGCTTGAGCCACATCCCCAGCCCTTTTTCATGCTATTTCATTCCAATCCCTAGCAGTTGCCCAGTCATAGAGGATTTCTTTTTTCTTTTTTCCAGAACCATGCCAGGTGGAAGTAAGACTGCTGCTGGCCTACAACTCCAGTGCTCGAATTCCAAAATCCCCCTGGATGGAGGGTAGTGAGGTATCACCACAGGTGGAGACAAGCATCGAGGGCACCATCCCTTTCAGCAAACCTGTGAAAGTCTACATCATGCCCAAACCTGCACGGCGCTGAGTCACAAGAGGTCTTCACAGCCATGGTCCAGAAGGTCCTTCTTAAATGGCAGTGAGCCAGAAGCCTGGAGAACTCCACCTGGAATTGGCTTGTGGGCATGTGACCGTTACAGACTTACTTGGTATCACACAGAATAAATTATTATTTTTTCATTAAAATAACTGAAAACCTTCCAGTTTACCTTTCTTTTCCACCTTAATAAATTGAGAAAACACCAAACTGTTCTAGTTTGGCCATAGCTTCAACATTTATACCACATGCTGATGTGCTTGATTCTGAGGTGTGAAACACAGACAACCAATTTTCCAGCCACTTCCAAAGAACTATTTATTTAAGCCATAATCTTGTTTCTTAAAATGATAGTCTGTTTGCCAGGACCAATTCCAAAGCTGCTTTAACAGCTGTACTTTTTTACTACTGAAAGTTCCTGAAGGACCATAGACATCCATTATCTTACTGAGAGGCCTCCTCCTTAACTCAGTAGCTGGGCCAACAACTGAATAGCTGGAGAATGAATCATTTCATCCTAAGGGAAATTCTTGATCTTGCTTGACATTATCCTTAGAACCTCTTCCTTTAATAAAATAATATAGAAGAACCATATTTTAGGAAAAAAATCAGTATTGTGGGAAAGAGGGACCCAGCATAAGAAATAAAGTCATTTCCTGCCGCAACTGTGATAAGTTGAAGCTGTCTGTGATTAATAGGTGCAGTTAAGATGGAATTACACAGTCAGTGCTACAGAGCTTAACTGTGTGGTGGGGACTGGGCTGTATGCTCTACCTATCATTTAATCTTTACAACCAATGAGGCTCAGAGATTTAAGTCACTGGTGGGAAAACTGCAGAATGTAGTCAATCTTATATTCATTTAAATCCAAGAAGATTCCAGAGACCTAAGATATCCTACCTCAGAAAATGCATGAGTGCTGTCATTTGAATGTGTCCCCCAAGGTTCATGTGTTGGAAACTTAAGCAGTGTTGGGAGGGGCAATGAGGTCCTGAGGGTCTTGCCTCATAGGTGGATTAATGTCATCCTGAGAATGGCTTAGTTATCACAAGAACAGGTTTGATGTAAAAGCAAGTTTGGCTTCTTGCTCTCTTTCTTGCCCTTTTGCCGTGGAATGATGTAGCACAAAGACCCTCACCAGATGCTACTGCCATGCTTTTGGAATTTGCAGCCTCCAGAACTGTGAGCCAAATAAATTTCTACTCATTATAAAGTACCCACTCTTGGATATCAGTTACAGCAGTAGAAAATGGAGTAAGACAGTGGCAAAAAAGCCTTAAAGTCTTCAGTTTTCTCATCTGTAAAACAGAAGTAATTATATATCAAGGAAGTCTTGATTATATTTGGTGCTTAGAAAGCTCAGAAAAATAATAGCAAAATTATACAGTTACTTGGAGGTGAAGCTGGAATTTAAATTCAAATTTGTTATATAAGTTTTTTGATACACTACTGTGTGCCTAACCTTTTACAAAAATTAACTTAATTAACCCTCACAAACCCCTTATGAAGTAAGTCTGCCATCTTCACTCAAAAATAAGGCAATTGAAGTTCAAAAAAATTAACTAACTTTCCTAGTCATGCAATTAATTAGTGACAGATTTGGGACTTGAACCCAGGCAGGCAGTCTGGCTCCAGGAGGTCATAACTGCTCTAGAAGGAGAAAGGGAAATCTCCAGGGGGTGGACTTTTATACTGTGCTCACCTGTTTTATACATCTCAAGGGTGTCACAACAGATTCTCAGGTCAACACAGCAGGATGCACCCAGAAAGAGGTATCTGCCATGGAGATAAAATGAAGCTCAAAGCCGGCTGAGTTGTACTGAGGCCCTGACCTGATGGCAGTTGTTAGTTAGAGCATAGACAAAAACATTAAGATTCAATGCTGCTGACTGAGCACATCATGCTGTAACTGTTGTAAGCCTTCTAAAAGAAGAATATGCTAACTGCTTTTCAGATACAATACCTCCCTTATAAAAATCTTTTCAAAGACAGGCATGGTCATGCATACCTATAGTCCCAGCAACTCAAGAGGCTGAGGCAGGAAGATTGTAAGTTTTAGGCTAGCCTGGGCAACTTAGTGAGACCCTCTCTCAAAATGAAAAATAAAATCCAAAATGTAGTGATTTTTCTGCCAAAAGTGGATATACGTTAAGGAGCAGGTTCTGGTTTAGTTTATCAGAAGAAAATTTTTGAGCTGTGAGAATTGAACAGGGTGTACTAGGAGCTATGGAATTCACCATGCTGGCTGGGTTTGGACAGACTTGAGCAAGCTCCTGACAAGTCTGTTGCTGAGGAATTCAGTTTTTGAGGGGGTGGGCTTAACCCTTTAAACTTCTTATACCTAAGAATCTCAGGTGCAGTGAAAATGAGAATTTTTATTTTACTGCATCTCATTCCACATTTTTTAACTGAATATCTTCTAAAGGCCTAGAAAGGAGCATAAACAGACCTCCAGTGTGAAATCTTAATTTATAAGTGAACATGAGAGACTGAGCTAGAGTGGTAAAGCCAAGGCTGGAACTTAGGCCTCCTGATTCTAATGTGATTTAAAAAAAAAAAAAAAATTATAGTATTAGATGGACAGTATGCCTTTATTTAATTAATTAATTAATTTAATGTGGCGCTAAAGATGGAACCCAGTGTGTCACACATGCTAGGCAAGTGCTCTGCCACTGAGCCCCAGCCCCAGCCTCTCTAATGTGGATTTTTGTAACAGAAGTCTACTGTTTCTAGTAAGTAGTCTAGCTCATCCAGCAGTCATAGCACTGGATTCCACTGGACTCCATCCTCATCCCTTACACGAGCGGACATCATATCTTTTAGATTCTGCTTGCTTAAATGTTTCTGGACTCAAACCTCTTCTCTCTCTTTTTTCTCCAGTACTGGGGATTAAACACAGGGCCATTCTATCACTGAGCTACAACCTCAGGCCTGGTTATTTTTTATTTTGAGATAGACTCTCATTAAATTGCTCAGGCTGGCCTTGAACTTGTGATCCTCCTGCCTCAGCCTCCCAAGTTGATGGGATTATAGGTGTGTGCCACTGTGCCTGGCTCAGTCTTCATCTCATTATAAAATCACTGTTGCTATCCTGATGCAGCCACCATCATTTCTCAACTATGACATTGGCCTTCCAATGGTCTTCTTGCTTCAATCTTGCTCACTTCAGTCTATCTTTCACATAGCTATCAGAGTAAAAAAAAAAAAAAGAGTTTTCTTTTTTTGTGGTGCTAGGGATTGAACCCAGGGCCTTGTGCATGCGAGGCAAGCACTTTACCAACTGAGCTATATTCCCATCCCCAGAGTAAAATTTTTTAAAGCCCTGATCTGATCACACCATTATCCTGCTTAAGTCCCTTTAAGTATGTCTCTACTGGTCCCAGGATAAAATCTAAGGCTGTCCATGCCTCTCTGCTTGTCTCCAGACTCATACACCCTGTCCCAGACTTTCTCTGTACCCCTCTAGGTGAACAGGTACCTATAGCTGTTCCCAAAGCTCCCCATGGTCTCACTCCCTTTTAGACCTTTAGATCTACTGAAACTTGGAATATGCTCTTCAATTGGTCACCTCTAGTTCCTTTCCTCCAATTCCTCAGGACTGGGCCTCATTGTAGAACATATCTGACTTCTGTTGTCTCTTTGTTCTCACAGCCTCCTATACATTGTTCAAGCCAGGTATTTGTCATTATGTTGCAGGTTCACAAATGCAAACTCCTAAAGAAGGTGGACAGGAAAAGTAAAGGAATCCAGCGATCTAGAGGAAGATCTTGGCAACTGAAAATCAGAGAAGACATTCTCTGTCAGAAGCAGGCAGTTGTTGTTCCATCATACTCAATATTTATTTATTGGTATTGGGGATTGAGCTCAGGGGCACTTTATCATTGAGCTACACATCCCCAACCTTTTTTATTTTGAGACAGGGTCTCACTAAAGTTGCTGAGGGTCTCACTAAATTGCTGAGGCTGGCTTTGAACATGCAATCCTCCTGCCTCAGCCTCCTGAGTCACTGGGATTACAGGTATGCACCACCATGCCTACCTCCACTCAATGTTAATCTGTAAATGTGGGCCTAGTGGTACTACATCTTTCAGTTTTTCCAGAAAAGCCACCCTGAATTTTTAAAAAATATCTTAGTTGTTGATGGACACAAGATCTTTATTTTTTTAATATTTATTTTTTAGTTTTAAGTGGGCACAATATCTTTATTTTACATTTATGTGGTGCTAAGGATCGAACTTAGTGCCTCAAGCATGCCAGGTGAGCACTCCACCACAACCTCAGCCCCAAGATCTTTGTTTTATTTTATGTGGTGCTGGGGTTCCAACCCTGGGTCTCACACATGAGAGGCAAGCGCTCTACCACCGAAGGACAACCCCAGCCCACCACCCTGCATTTTTGTGTAAAAATAATTTAAAAATCTTGTAACTAAATGTTAAAATTATTGAGACACAGCATGTCTCCAGGCAAATTTATGCCAGTTTGCACCTTCTATGTCATCACTGTATATTTACATATCTCTTTCTTCCAACTAATCTGTGAATACCTAGATAATAAGAATGTTTGAGGGGCTGGGGTTGTGGCTCAGCGGTAGAGCACTCACCTAGCATGTGCAAGGCCCTGCTCGATCCTCAGCACCACATAAAAATAAATAAATAAAAACAAAGGTATTAAAAAATAATAATTTCCATTAAAAAAAAAAAAAAAAAGGATGTTTGAGTTGTTGGATCCCTAGCACAACTCCTGGCACACACCAGGCAAGGAAAGAATGAATGAGCATGTGAATCCAGAGCAAACGTAGTACCGTGGCATGCCTATAGAAACAAGCCCTGAAATTCAGATTTCTGAAAGATCTTTATATTTGGCTTTCACATGATTGAATTGAACAAAGATACACACACTGCACTTGGTAGATTTCTTGTCTTAGAAACTACTCAAGCTGGAAGAAATTATGTGGACAGACTGAGGGCTGTGCTGCCTACAAATCGAACCAAAGGATTTAATGATTAGTACATGGGACTAAATATGGTGTCATGGGAAAAAAAGTTTCTCTCCAGGCTCTATATTTCCAGCACTGATCATATGGACCAGATTTGAAGGTATAGACTATTTTTTAGCAGGTTTTATACACAGTTTAATAACCTCACTGCCAGAAACTTGTAAGAA